GAAAACATTTCTGTGCTTTTAAAAACTGTGGTAACTTTCAGTAATCTTAGTTAAGAGTATTTATTTTCCCTAAGGTTCCCTGATTTATAATATTCCGTTCTTCCTTCCCATTAAGGATTACATTTTTGCATTTTCATCTTCAAGAGGAATGACATTGCAAAACAGTACTGAGGAAGGACGTGATTGGCTCATTGTACTGCTACACGGTACAGACTGTCTTATGAGACGATTTAAAAGGAGGGATTTAAAAGTCATAGATACAGTTAGATGAAAATATGAGCAGATATGAGGAAGCATGAGGGTGTCGTCAGCCTCGTGCCTACAAAGCACTACTTTTTTCAGTTATAGAGCAATCTAATAAGGAGGAACTGATTCATCCGGAATATAGTTCCTTTAGTTTTTGGATAACTGACACAAAGGAACTTTGGAATTTTAATCTCCCAACAGATGTTAATGTAAGGCATAAACGAGTAATGCAATTTCTGCCATTCAGTAACTTGAAGTAAAACATGTAGCTTTATTTCACTAACAAAGCTAGGTGTGGGGACAGAAATCTATAATACTGGTCCTTGCACATCTAGAAGATCAGAAGTGCAAGGAAAGTCTCAAGCTACACATTGAATTTGAGGCCAGCCTATGTTACTTGAGATCCTGTCTCAAGAAAAGGAAGATATAGCTCAATTGGTAGAGTGACTGCCTAGTATTTGAGAGCCCTGGGTTTAACCCCAGCACTGTATAAAGCCCTGTGATAGTGGAGCCCGTAATTTCAGCACTTGTTCAAGGCCAGTTTAGGCTACAGAACAATTTAGAGACCTGCCCTAAGAGATCCTGTCTCAAAAAATAAAGAACGCAATAGTTAACCTCACCTAACCTAATTTTTTTGGAATAATTGCTATAAACAAAAATACTGTGATTGTTGGCTTACAGCAGTGTTTCTCAACCTGTGAGGTCGCCTGTCAGGCATCCTGCATATCAGATATTAAATTTACATTACAATTCATAATTGTAGCAAAATTACAGTTATGAAGTAGCAGCGAAATAATTTTATGATCGGGGATCACTATAACACAAGGAACTGTATTAAAAGATCACAGCAGGAAATGGTGGTGGCGCATGCCTTTAATCCCAGTACTTGGGAGGCAGAGACAGGCAGATCTCTATAAATTCAAGGCCAGCATAGTCTACAGGGTGAGTTCCAGGACAGGCTCCAAAGCTACACAGAGAAAGCCTGTCTCGAAAAAACAAAACAAACAAAAGAATCGCAGCATCAGGAAGGTTGAGAACCACTATTTACAGGAAGGGAAAGTTATTTCCAAGTGGGGGAATGTATATAAATCAAACTATAACTTCTGAAACTTAGCTTTTAAGTGAGGCTTGTTATCAATGAAGAGTTTCTTTTGTTTAGTTGGTTTTTGGTTTTTGGTTTTTTGAGACAGAGTTTCTCTTTCACTCTGGCTATCCTGGAATTCACTCTGTAGACCTGGCTGGCCTCAAACTCAGAGATTCACCTACATCTGTGCTGGGATTAAAGGAGTGCACCACCACCACCCAGCTCAATGAAGAGTTTCTACAAGAGGAAAAATAAATATAAATGCATGATATTACATGACAATATTTAGGCAGTTCTTACCACTTTAAGATAATCTTTTCAACAACTAATTTTATGTTCTTTTGTATTTCATAATTTCATAACTATACTCACTGGCTTAAAGAAATGTGCAACTTGCTTTCAAAGACCCTACCATATTTTTTATATTTATGCAAAAAAGTTAACAGGTACTGTTAATTATGTAATCCTATATCAATTTCCCACCAGAACATCTTTTATAAAGTAGTGAGCTGGGATTTATTTGACCTTCTAGTTCAACCACATAAATTCTTTAAGATGCCACTGAAAAAATCATATTGAATTTAACATAACTGAAGAGAAATGTACATTCTCCAGTAGTCTTAAGAAGACAAGGTATGAAATATTTTAAATTGAGAGGTAAAGTTTTAAATTACAATGGTGTATAAATTGTGAAATATTCAATATTCATTTGCCTTATATTTACAATAACTATTATAAACTTGGTTGAATTACAATCAAGTTTTCTCTCTCTCGCTCATATGTTCATATGCATAGGGGTGTGTGTGTGTGTGTGTGTGTGTGTGTGTGTGTGTGTGTGTGTACATCAGAGATTAACCTTGGTGTTAATTAACCTTGGCTCTCTAGGAGTTGTTCACCTTGTTCTTTGAGACAGGGTGTTCACTGGTACCTAGTACCTAACCATTAGGCTAGGTTGGCTAACCAGTGAACCCCAAGGTTCCTCCTGTCTTCTCTTCTCCCAAACTGGGCTTACAAGTGTATGCTATCATGCCTGACTTTTTATGTGGATGCTGGGGATTCAATTACAGTCTTGTCCTTGAATGACAAACACTTTTCTGACTGAGCTGTCTCCCCAGCCCCTAGCCACCAGTGATTGATTTGTCTTTGATGTTTAGGTTCCAAACTACTGTCAGGTTTTATTTTTTAAATAAACTTTTATTCTTATAATAGCCATGTTTCAGACATACCCACATTGTTGCTCATATGACCGTATTCTATACTTATCTATGTTTTCATTTTAATTATCTGTAATATTATCGTTTATTTGTAATTAACTGTAGTACAAAAATATTAAAAGGAAAAGTCCATAAATAAAAACTTAAGTAACTCATTATAGTAGTTAGTCATAATTGCTCTGTTTTGTTGTTGCTAATCTCTCATATGTATGTATATATAGGAGAAAATCATATGTGTATATATGTGTATATGTAAGTGATCTTTAAACTGATTATTTTCTCTCTCTTCTTCAGTTTATCCACTAGCATCAGAATTCTTATTCTACAATACTAAACTGATCTTGTGATTTCCCTGAATAAAAGCTTTGATTCCTTTCCACATATAGAATGAAATCCATATTACTGAATGTTCTCGGACTTTCCGTTCTCTTTCTAAGAGTCGAATTGTACTCCACTTCTGTTGGTGATTAATGCACCTTGTATAGACAATTACTTCCCTTTTTCTAGAATGCCTTTTTACTTTTGTTTTGTTGCATTTTTCCCTCTTAAACTGCTAGATTCCTCTTTTGTTCTTATTATAATTTTCTGCAGAATTTTGTTAGTACTTCCCCCCTTTTGTACACTAGTCATTGTGATGTTTGCCTCACATCTGAACAGGAGATCCTTTAGGTAGGTGTGATAGGATGGTGTGGTGGTGATGCCGCTGTCTTCAAGAAAACATTGGAAACAATAGGAATACCGTTTACTGGCTACCTCTTGGAGGTGTGATACTTGGAAAAATTTAGCACATATTTTACAGAGTATGTTAATAAGATATAATTAACACAGAGTCTTGCCAGACTCTTGCTGGACCTTGTTTTGTTTTGGGAACAGCACTCAGGAGATAGAGCAGGAGGATCACTGCAAGTTCACAGTTGGTTGGGTCTACATAATAAATTCTAGAAGGAAGAGAAGATGGAAGTAGCTGGTGGTATAGACCTTGTTCCATACCATATTTGAAAGACCCATTGTTTCACTTTTTCTCAGGATTGCTCGCATTCTAGTAGGGTAAGCCTTAGTGAAATGGATTTGTGATTTGGGAAATGCATAATTTAAAATAAAAACATATGGTTACCTACACTAACTTGTAGACACAGTTGTCTTTTTTGACCTTTTATTCTCATGACTTGGCTAATAAAAAGGATGAAGATGCTTATGTTTTTAAGTTTTATTGATATACAATTAATTAGTTATAAGGTAATAATTATATATAAACTTTTATTTTTCGATTTTTTATTTTTTTAAATAAGATCTCTTTATGACCAAGACTGTTGTTATGTTTGACTCTTATTCTCTATTTAAACCTAAACTTCATGTTAGGACCCCAAAGATGGACTTTGTGGGGAGTCACTGAATCTTTTTGTCCACCCTGACCGGCCTGAAACTCGCTATATAGATCAGACTGTTCTTGAACTCACAGAGATCAGCCTTTCTTTGCTTTTGAAATTGTGAAGATTAAAGGCCTGTCCCACCACACTTGGAAATAAATAAATAAGTGTGTGTGTGTGTGTGTGTGTGTAAGTACATCTTAAGCAACACAAAATAAACATAAACATGTCCACCATCCTCCAGACTTTCTCTTCTACTGATTTTAAATAAAGAGCGATCACCTTTATTTCATTATGGATTGACTTACATATTCTAGAGTTTCATATAAGTGGATCATATAGCATGTGCTTGTTTTTGATTGCTTCTTCCACTCAACACACTTACTTGATAGTTGTGTGTATCAGTATTTTATCCTGAGGGTGCATATTTTGAATTACATTTGTTATGGAATGTAATTTTTTTTACCCACATTATAGGTTACATTTTGGGGGAGGTTCAGATGGAACTGATGTGAAAATTTAGTTGAGCCTACGTAAAGTCACTTCTGAGAATTATTTTAGTATGATATGTACAGATTCTTCGGTATTCCAGACTTGTGTGCACAAAAATTTAGGTGCATTTTAATTTTCAATGAGTGTCCTTTCATGTACTTAGAGTCTAATTCAAAATAAAGCAGGTAAGTACATTTTACTCAATCTTGGAGTATAATGTACTCCGGAATACTATTTCCTTCACCTTTCTTGGGAACTGTTGGGTGAAAACCCTTCTAATTTGGCCTCATATGGATAGTAACTCTAAAGTGGTTACCTCAAACTTAATACTGTCGCTAGTTACAGGTACCAAGCAATAAGGCACTAATCAATTGTGTGTTAATACTACTAGGAGCTCAGTTTGTAGAGGGAAAGATATCTTCCTCACGTAGTCTTTGATGACTACATTTGAAACTTGTTATTTAATGTTGGGAAGGAAAAGATCTTTGCTTTGTTGTATTGTTTGGGTTTTTTTTTTTCAAAAAAAACCCAAGTCATTAAAATCCATTGTTACTATTATAATCTCACTCATTGCTATGTCCCTTTTAAAATTTTCAGGTGCATATAATCCATATGTAGAAATAATCGAGCAGCCACGACAAAGGGGAATGCGGTTCAGATACAAGTGTGAAGGGCGCTCAGCAGGCAGCATTCCCGGGGAGCACAGCACGGACAACAACCGAACATATCCGTCTATCCAGGTAACAGGCCCTCCCTCGGCGTCTCACGTTCAGGGGTTCATATTTCACTGTGACAATTGAATTAAGCACTCAGTTTCTTTTTTGTTATGTTTTTGTTTCGAGACAGGGTTTCTCTGTGCGGTCCCAGTTGTCCTGCAGCTCACTCTGTAGACCAGGCTGTCCTTGAGCTCACAGGCCCACCAGCTTCTGCCTCCCCAGTGCTGGGATGAAAGGGGTGCACCACCACCCAATGGAAGGCTCAGTTTCTAACAGTTACCTCCATGGTCTTTTACTTCCATCCCATTTTTTTTCTTTGTACTTGCTTTGCATTACTAGGTGTGTAGGGAGATCTCTTAAATATGTGCCCTCTTTCCTGCTATGATTCACAGTGCTTACTATATTCTGACGCTTTTGGATCTGATCCCTCCTGTAAGCATGAAAGTTTTAGTCAGGAAAAAACGTTCTCTATATATGGTGATGAGGGAGAATTGTAGTATATGCTAAACATGAATTTGGAGACGCTAATCTTTTTCAATCTTTTAGTTTCAGAGCTATTAATAAGGAAAACTTTTTCCCTCTTTTTTCCTTACCTTTATTGCACATCTCCAGTACTCCTGAGTTATCATCTAAATCATCACTTTTTTCTCTGTGTATTTAAGGGGTGTGTGTGTGTGTGTGTGTGTGTGTGTGTGTGTGAGAGAGAGAGAGAGAGAGAGAGAGAGAGAGAGAGAGAGAGAGAATACAGGCACTTGTGCCTCAACGCCCATGTGGACGTCAGGACAGGCTTGGGTAGGTTGGTGCTTTTCTTCCACATTTAGGAGGCGGGTGTCTCTTGTTTTCTCACTCAATATGCCCGGCCTCCTGGTTCACTAACATCCAGTGTCCTGCTTCTGCTTCCCATCTCCTGATAGCAGAGCTGGTATCACAGGTGCTCAAGCTCCTGGTCTCTGTCTGTTTTGATGGACAGTACTGGGGATTGAACCTAGAATGCTAGGCAGGTGTTCTACCACTGAGATAGATTCCTAGCCTGTGAAAGAGTTTTTGACTGAAAATGAATTTGGCAAATGTACCATATTTATGTATGTTTGTCTGTTTTATTTATAAATTATATTTACTTGGCTTTTAATTTTTATAATTTATTTGTTCACGTTTGGTGTTTTGAAACAAAATTTCACTAGACTAGGCTAGCCCCAAACTTGTGATATTCCCTCTTGCTTCTGCTTCCTTTATACTGGAAATATAGGCATGCACAATCATGCCTAGCTGCTTTTTATCGCTTAAATGCCAATTAAAAAACTTAATAGTGAGTTAATGTGGTAGCACATGCCTGTAATCCAAGCATTTGGGAGGCAAAGACAGGTGGATCTTTAGTTTGAAGACTGCCCAAACTGCATAAGAAGTTCCAGGCCAGTGTGGACTGTTTTTGTCTGTTCGTTTGTTTTTTGTTTTGCCCAGACAGGTTTTCTCTGTATCTCTGGATCCTGTCCTGGAACTAGATCTTGTAGACCAGGCTGGCCTCGAACGCACAGAGATTCACCTGCTTCTGCTTCCCAAGTGCTGGGAATGAAGGCATGCACCACCACTGCTTGGCTCCAATGTGGACTTTTTAAACAAGACCTTGTCTCAACAAATAAATAAAAACAAAGTTAATAACTAGTCAGGGGCAGTATCACCCACTGTGGGGAGGCTGTGGTAGAAGGATTACTTGGGTCCAGAGACAAGTGTGGATAAAAGTAAGACATTATCTCAAAATCGAATTTGAAAAATAGTTCTTAATCTTTCATGATTAGATCTGAAATTACTTCTTTGTAACTAGCTTATTCATAATTTATTTTATTGAACCTAAGGAGAATTACAAAGTTAAAACAATAAGTCCATTATCAAGTTATATATTGATTTTCAAATTTTTCTTTTTGTTTTAACTGATATGTAGATGCTGAAATTAAACATGTTAATGGACTGTCATGTAATGTCTGATACATGTATACATCATGTAATCCTTAAATCAGGTTAAACATACTTAACTCCTCAAACATTTATCATTCCTTATGGAAATATTCAAAGTCCTCTTAGTTTTTTTAAATACACAGTATATTTATACATAGTCACCATATTGTATAATAGTGTGCCTAGAGCTTTTTTGTCCCATCTACTGTACAAATTAAATTTTAAAAAGTTTTTATTGTTATATGTGTATGTGCCTGATCCAGATACTGGGATCTGAACTCTGGTCCTATGGAAGACCAGGAAGTGCTCTTCCTTTTGAGCTATCACTCCAGCCCCATAACTTCATGCTTTTAAATGACATTTTTTTTGGCAACTGCATGGATTTGGGTTTTCTCAGTTCTTTTAAGTATTCAAATGGAAGAGATGTAGTGAAAAGTTAATTTAAAAATTCCATTCTTCCAATCTTGTGAGTCATTTCAGCTCCTCTTTTAAAAACGTTTCTACATTTTGTTTATGAATTCATACAAAGCATTCCAGACAGTGTGTCTTGACCCTCACTCCGCACTCCTCTCCGTTCTAGTTAACCTGGAAGTAGCACAGGCATTTCAGAGCTCTTTCTGCAGTTAGCAGTGTTGTGCAGCCAGACACGCAGCCAGTCCTGGAGAGTGCTCTTCTTCAGAGATTTTTTATGAGATATTTCAGATATCATTAGGAAGAAGACACCTTGGAGGAGACAGTGATCTCTCTCCTGTTCCTTTTGATGGTCACAACCCCTCCATCCAGATTTCCAACTTTTCCTCTCTCCTCGAATCTCTCTGGTGGAGGAACCAGCAACATCCACGATGCTGTCTTCTGTAGGGTGGGTGCAGTCAAGGGCAAATTTCAAAACCTGCTTCCCCCCTCCTTTGCCACAAGCTCATTTTCATGGGCCATCTATCCTCAGAGTACCATGTTTTTGTTGTTTGTTTTTTAATTCTTGAACTTTTTTTTAGACTCTCTCCCTCTGTCCCTCCCCCCTCTCTGTGTGCACATGCACACACATGTAAAAGTCAGAGGACAGCCTTCAGGGCAGTGCCCTCATGTACTATGTGAGATCCAGAGATTGCACTTCTTGGTGGCAAATGCTTTTAGCTATAGCACCATCTAACCAGCCTTAGTTCTTCTTAAGTCATATTACTTTATGCATCAAAATTATGTGTATGATTTGTGTCTTTTCCGCTCCAACAGATTCTAAACACTTTACAGCTTGAATTCTTTCTCCATCAGTCTATTTTGTAGTTTTAGCAATTGTGAATGGGTATGATCAGTATACACTGTATAAGTAAATGTATGAAACTTTCAAAGAAAAAATATAAAACAGACAGGCACAGTGGCACATGTCTTTAATCTCAGAATTTGGGAGGCAGAGGCAGGTGGGTCATATTTTTTTCCTATTATTTTCAGTGTGGCTTAAATATGTTTTTTTCAAGGCATGTTTATGGTATGAAGGTGTAACCAAAAGCAAAGCACTGAGAAGCTAACCTCTAAGCATTTCCTTGTACTCTGTGACCCACCCCTCCAAAAGCATTTATCAACTTTCCAGGCCATGTTGGTGCACACCTTTAATCCCAGCACTTGGGAGACTGAGGCAGGTGAATCTCTGAGTTTGAGGTCAGCCTGGTCTACAGAGTGAGTTCCAGGACAGCCAGGGCCACACAGAGAATCCCTGTTTCTTGCAAACTAAAAAGTAAATAGATAAATGGTATCAACTTACTTGACTTATTTAGGATTTAACACAGATTTCATATCGCTCAAGTGGGCCTCAAACTCACCATGTAGCTGAGGAGTACCCTGAACTTCTGAAAATTGTTGTCTCTTCCTGTTGAGTGTGGTTAATGTGGTTCTGAGAATCAAACCCAGGGCCTTGTGCATGCTAGGCAAGCATTCTGTCAACTGAGCTACATCCCCAATACAGTTTACCTGTTTTGTGTTTGGTTTTTCAAGACAGAGTTTCTCTTTGTGGCCTTGGCTGTCCTGGAAGTCACTCTGTAGACTAGGTTGACCTTGAACTCACAGAGATCAGCCTGCTCTGTCTCCTAAATTCTGTGATTAATGGTATACACCACAATGACCAGCAGGTTTACCGGTTTTAGTTTGGTTTTTCCAGACAAGGTTTCTCTGTAGCTTTGGAGCCTGTCCTGGAACTAGCTCTTGTAGACCAGGCTGGCCTTGAACTCACAGAGATCCACCTGCTTCTGCTTCCCAAGTGCTGGGATTAAAGGCGTGCGCCACCACTGCCTGGCCCAGTTTTAAAAGGGAAATAAGTAACCAGATAATAAAACTAGATGAAATTAGGGCAGAAAGAACATTTCAGGAGTTGATAGTTTTCCTGCTGGTATTCTCTGAGAACTTTAATCTCAAGTAAGCTGCTGAATAGTTGAACTATAATCAGTGCTGACTTCATTATATACTTTTAGTGGGTCAGTTTTTTATAGTTGTTTGCTTTTAAAACAGGGTATTATTGTTTGTAGCCCTAGCTGGCATTGAACTTGTGCCAGTCCTGCTTCAGCCTTCCAAATGCTGGCATTACTGGCGTATGCCACAATGTACCATCATCTGGCAGCTCTGTTCTTAACAGTATATACTTACAGATTGTACAATTAATTTCGCCTTTCAGATTATGAACTATTACGGGAAAGTAAAAGTGAGAATTACGTTGGTAACAAAGAATGACCCGTATAAACCTCATCCTCATGATTTAGTTGGAAAAGACTGCAGAGATGGCTTCTATGAAGCAGAATTTGGACCAGAACGCAGACCTCTGTTGTAAGTATGCAGTCACAAAAATCTTTGCACTAGGACCAGAACAGCATTTTAGTTTTTAGCAAAATTAATTTCGTATTTAATTTACTATAGCTTACATTTAGATTTTTAATTTTATTTTTCATCTGTAGCGGGTACATGCATGGGCTCTGGGGTGCATGTGGCGGTCTGAGTTGGTCCAGCTTGTGAAGCTGGTTCTTTCCTCCACCATGAGAACTCTGAGAATTGAACTTAGGTCACCAGGTGTGGTTGCAGATACCTTTACCCCCTGAGCTATCTCACCAACCTGACATTTAAGTTTTTGTTTTTACCATTGGCATTAGAATTGTCCTTTCAATCAGCAGAACTACTTCCTTGAGAGTTGGAGGTTTAGACAGCTCATGTAACCCAGGCTGGACTCAAACTTGCTATGTGGAGTGAGTTAGAACTTATCTTCCTGCCTCTACCTCCCAAATCCTGGGTTTGCAGGTAACGCCATCATGTCTGGCTCAACTGGAGTACTTCTTTAAAAAATTTGTGTGTTCTTCTTAGTGTTTCAAGATAGGGTTTATATAGGCCAGGTGGCCTTCCAGAGGACCCGGACACTGAGAGTCCAGGGCGAGGTTAGTCATAAAGTACCACATCAGTTTGTGCAGACTGAGCTTAAGACAGACTGCTGCTGTGTTAGGCTAGCAGTCTGACAACTGAGCTGTACGTCTCCCACTATCTTATCTTCTTATGGGCTGTTTGGAGACAGAATCTCACTGTGTAGCTCAGCCTAGCTTCCAACTTGTAGAGATCCTCCTGCCTCGACCTCCAGAGTACTGGTTATAAGTAAGCATGTGTTACCATATTTGGATAGGTGTTCTTTATAGTTATTGAAAGTAAAGAAAACTTTTTATGTTGTGTTATATCTCTACGTTCTGCATAATCTATGAAAAATTTGAGACCAACCTGGAAGGCATTGTTTCAAAAAAAGTTCCTCATTAATAGTAATAACACAAACCACAAAAAGCCCAACTAATGCACGTTTGACAAGAAATACTACTGCCTGCATTACTTGAACGTCCACCCAGCATTTTAAACTTTCAGCTGCTTGTGTCTTGAAATACTCTTTCTGATTTCTGCAAAACAGGCTTGTTTTAATTTGTAGCTTTCTAGCTGTCCTTCCATGTGGCCTCTGTGTTTTCATCTCTGCCACACTCTAGTGCCTCTAATATATTGTGTTCTGGTATTTCAAGACAGGGTTTCTCAGTGTAGCCCTGGCTGTCTTTGAACTCAGAGATCTGCCTGTCTCTGCCTCTGGGACTAAGGATTGCACCTCTAATCTTACACTGCTGTCATGAGAGTTTTCCTTAGCTGTCACACAGTGCGCACAGTGCTTTTCCATAGGGCCTCCTCAGGGTCTGTTCCTTTTGTCTTCCTAGTGCATTCCATAGTATCACTCCCCACAGGAAGCCTGCCTGCCCACCTGAATTGATCTATTATATGCTCCTTCCCATAAAGTATGTTTACTTTCATAAAACTTGTTATGATTCAGTTGAGTGGTTTTTGCATATGATTATTTAGTAGTTCGGCAGACTTGAGCTGGCGGGTTGTCGTATCATAGGCTTTTCAAGCCTTTTAGACTCTGTGTCCTACTCAGCCCCGCTATTTCAGGAAAGCAGTCACAAACGATACGTGAGTGTCTGGGCATGTTTGAGTTTCAGTACAAACCTCATTTGCAAAAACAGCAGTATGCTGAATTGGCCCATGGATTAGAGTTTGTCAATCCCTTGTACATCTCCATTCCTTTCCAGAGTTTTAATGCATAGTTGGAACTCCAAAATATGATGAATGACTATGAAGGAATAAATGGGAGACTGAACCAAATACCTGAATGATTCTTGGTTTCCTTAACGCAGAAGTTTTTTGCCTTGTTCCCTTCTTTTCTCTTTCTGCTAGTGTTGGGGTTGATTCCAGAGTATCATGAGCTAGACAAGTACGACCCTACTGAGTTAATGCCTAGCTCTTGGATTTTTGAAACTCCCCATTGCTTTTAATATTCTGTGCATTAGCAGGTGTGATTTTCAGATGAGAAAAAACCAAGTAGCATATATTAGGGTGAAGAATTCTTTAAAACCTTTTATTAGAGAAAAACTAAAAAACACAGTAAGAATCTCCCAAAGATTCTTTTTGAGAAGGAATTATGTAGTTACAGGATTTCAAGAAAGGATTAAGAATTCATGACTTATTTATTTTTGTTATTGGAGGTGGAGGAAGGAAATGTCAGAGTTATTTTAGGTGCTGGTGAAGTCACAGGTGTGTGAGTGCCGAGCATGAAGCATGAACATAAAGGCGGCACGGATGTGGAGTAAAGTGAGCCAGGTAGCTGCAAGTGCCAAGTGAAATGGGAAGAAAGAGCGGCGTTCTTATCATTGAGTTTTGCTTCCTTATTCACACCCACCCATCTCGAATGATGTCATGGTTTTTCCATGTGGGAACAAGTATGACTGGGTGGTGGCAGGGGAGTTCCCCCCACCATCATCTGTATTACACATATGCAAATGAATAATATTTGTAGCTATTGAGAAGTTTTCCATAAGTGACCTTCTGAACGTGTTAAATAGTGTTAGTATTAAACCTCTCTAATTAAAAAACAACCACTTCACTCCGATAACATGGCATAAAGTGTGTCCTATAATCTACGACAAAACTTGAGGTCAGCCTAGAGTACACAGCAAGACACTGCAGCGGCTCGCTGTGGTTTGCTGTAGTCGATGACACAGCTTTCAGCGATGAGCTAGGGAGACAGCATAAACAAGCAGAGGAATCAAACGTAAGAAGGCTAGCCAGGTCCCCATCAAAGAGAACTGTATGTAAGTGGGCACAGTTGCCTCTGCGCCCAAGTCCTGTCAAGCCTCTAAAATGTTCACAAAGCCAGGAATACTGATGTTCTTCTCTAGTTACTTGACTTTTAAGCTCCATAATGTATACAGATTTTTTAAATTCAGTAACCACTCCTATAAAATCTTTAAAAAAATATAGGTTATAGGAGCAAATCATGCCTTCATATTTCAGGGTCTGGCTGTCTTTGCACCTCTTGATACACAGATTTTAGTGAATTGATCATGAATTTGTTTGGAATGTGAAATTTTGCTTTTTGGTGTTTTTTATAAAAATGTTTATCTACCTTGGTACATTTCACTAGGCATATTGGTAAAATATAATTATAAAATAGTATATTTGAAAGTGAAATAGTACTATATATGCTTTTTTGGTTTGGTCTTTTGTGACAGGGCTTCCCATGGTCTAGGCTAACCCTCAAACTTTTAGGCAGCTGAGAATGATCCGCGTGCCTCCATTTCCCCAGCGCTGTGATTAAAGGCAAACGCCACCATGTACACTATTTGTATATTAGCAGTTCTCTTAGACAGTTCTACTTTTTGTTACTCTTGTATCTTTATTATCAAAATTAGAAATAGGATCCATGTCCTAGTAGCTGGATTTGACCGGAAGGTGACTTCTCAGTGTTGACTGTGTTTGACTTCTGTCATATTTTTAACCGTGATGTGATTTTGAAAGTTTCATTTTTTGCTCTTAGTTTTCAGAATTTGGGTATTCGGTGTGTAAAGAAAAAAGAAGTGAAAGACGCTGTTATTTTAAGAATAAGTGCAGGAATCAATCCTTTCAATGGCAAGTATTTTGTTACAATTTCTACTATTTGAATATCGATGGACTGTGATTTCTATTTACATTATAATTCTACTTGTTGACTTGTATTTGTACCTGAGAAATCAAGTGTATTTAAGTAGACAGTGTCTTTGTTTTTTGTTTTTTTAAGGAGGCCTCCCCTTCCCTTTTCTTAGTGTTTATTTTGACCTAAGTTCTTCCTTTGTAGCTCTGAGGGGTCTATTACTCCACATCGCAGAGTGACCTTGAACTCCCAGCAATCCTTCCTCCCTCATCAGCCTTCCAGCCTTCCAAGGTCTTGGATTATAGATCTGAGCCACCATGCCTGGCTAAAACAAACGAAGAAAAAACTAAAACCTGCTCCAGGTGTTTTGATTCTCTTTGAACATGCTTATTCCTTATGTTACTTGTGCAAGGAGCAGACTCACTCCTCTTTCTGAGTGCTGACTAGGCAATCCATGCTTCCCCCTCCCCCACAGTTGTTTGCTAATAGGAATCTCATCAGGCCTTGCTGACGTGAATTGCTGTTTCCCTGAGGCTGGACTTGCCCCTGCCTCTGCCTCCCAAGTTCTGTCATTACAGGCCTGCAGCACCATACCTGGCCACTCAAAATATTTTTTAGACTTCTTTAGATTTTTAAGTATGTATGTTTGCCTGCCTGTATGTATATGTACCACGTGTGTGCCTGGTACCCTTGAAGGTCAGAAGAGGGCATTGGATCCCCTGGAACTTGAGTTGCAGATGGATATGAGTCACCATGTGGGTTCTGAGAATCAAACCCAGGTCCTCTGCAAGAGCAACAAATACTCTTAAACACTAAGGTGCCTCTCTAACCCTTCAAAATATTTTTGTGATATGTTTTTGTATTGGCAAAATATATCTTGCTATTTAGCACACTTTATTGGCAATAGCACTTACTAGCCATTTTATTTTTAAGTTATTGTTCGGGGACAAAGGGACATGTGCTTACCATATAGCACATGTCTATCCAAAAATGACTTGAATTTTCTGATCCTCCTGCCTCCATCTCCCAATACTGGGACCATCATCACACTTGGCTTAGGCACTGCTGGGAATAACTCAAGGTTTCTTTGAGTGTCAAACAAGCCCTCTGCCAACTGAGCTGCTTCACTGACCCTGAGCATTTATTCTTTATGAGGCTATTTGGGTATGCCATCTAGTACCTTTTAGCATTCTGTATTGTTCAGTAGATAAATGATTGCTGAAGTGGATGCAGTTACCCTTACTTTAAAAAGTCTTCATCCTAAAGTCCTGTGTAGCTACATAAATAGTTTTGTTGGTCTAGGCATGGTAGAGCACACATGTATTTCAAGCTACTTAAGACTGCATCCTCAAACTCACTATGTAGCTGAGAACAACCTTGTATTCTATCTGAGCCTTTAGTCACTCATTAACTGAAGAGATGTAATAAATACCTATTATCTGTAAACTCTTATCTTCGATGTTTAATGAAACATAAAGATGCGACTCACCCATCCTGAACTCATAGCACTTTGCCTATAGGGTAGAAGCAGCGTGTATAAATGGTGGTCATGTGAGATGAGAACCTAAGGACAGATCTAGTGCCGCACTGATTGAGAGAGAAGGGGTGTTTCTTCTCGTCCAGAACGAGACTTAGACTTAGAAAGTTAGTTCAGGAATGGAGATAGGGCTCTAGAAGTAAGTGCTTCCTGCCTAAGTATGAAGACCTGAGTGTAATCCTAGTGCCCATTTGAAAACAGCCAGGTGTTCCCAACACTGGGGAGGTGGCTACAGGGGGGTGTCTGGGACTGGGGGGGTCAGTGAAAGGCCTCATCTCAAAACATAAAGTGAAGAAAACTAAGTAAGACACCTGGTCTTGCTCTCTATCCCCTGTAAAGAAGATTTTTTTTCTTTACACGCACACAGACACACACACACACACACACACACACACACACACACTAGTTCTTTGTTGGGTTTTCAGCCGTTACTCTGGATCCATATCACTTATGACTCCTGGTTGTCAGTCATTTTCAGCCATGCTGTGGCAGAGATGAGAAACATGGTTAAAAACCATGTTAGTTTTATGTAACTGTTCTGCATTCTAAAAATAGTGTTTTGGTGCCCCCTTTTTTTCTTACATATGGGAGAAGGGTGCATGGGTGTGGAGGTTAAGGACAGCCTCAGATGTTGTTCCTCAGGCACTGGCTTAGAGCTTGGCAGTCTGCCAGGGCTCACTGTCTGCCTTCCCATTTAAGCCTTGTTACTGCGCCTGGCTTTTTTACATGGGTTTGGGAGTAGAACTCAGGACCGTGTGCTTGCAAGGCAGGCACTTCACCAACAGAATTGTCTCCATCCCCACTCTGCCTTTTCAGTTATGCAGCCGTCTTTTTATAAACTCCAGTGTGTTAGGCTTGAGAATGCAGACACTGGAATCAATTTCAATGTCAGGTTCGGCATTATGGGCTACACAGTGAGACCTTGTTTCAGTAAACAGAAAGAAGCCAGTTGTGGTGATCCATCTGCCTGCCTCTGCCTCCCACGTGCTGAGATTAAAGGCATGGGCCACCATTTCTGGCAGCATACATGGTTACCCATTAATTTTAAATAATAATTTTTTATTGGTTGTTCCCTGTAAGACTATGGAATTTGCCTAATTGTTTTTCACATTTAGTATTTTAATTTTAATACTAATCTACTTGTAATTTAACAAAATTTATGCTTTTAAAATATGGTCTATATTAGTAACAATTTATTGCTATGGAGTTAAAATATTATTTCAAAGGCAGCAATATTTTGCTTTAGAAATAGGTTTCTTTTCAAAATCAATATAAACAAACTGTTCTTGTACTGTTTTCTATGACAAGTTGTTATATCTTTTCAGAACTATAAAAATGCCCTGTTGTATATTTTGTTTGTTTTTAAGCAAATTTGACTTACACATAAATTGTCCTAAATAAGCCTACACCATCTGGTACCTTCCACACATCTCTAACATGTTGGTGTACAGTTAGTATGACCCTTTGCTTCAAATTCCCTCTCCACCATTTAGCTGTGAAACTTTGGGAAATTATTTCCTCTCCTTAAAATCAATGTCTTTCCTGTAAAAACAGGGATGACCGTGATTCTTCCTAGATTTAGAAGGTAATTGCAGACGGGGCCAATTACCATGGTTAACCAAGAATGCCTATTTCCTGTTGCCTATAACTTGCCTCCAGAATTAAGACTTTTGATTTATGTTGTCAGTTTGTGATTCTGCCCTTAAGTTGCAGGCTCCTAGCATAGTTCCTCCCTGAACATGGCTATATGGATCACGTACTGTTAGATAGTAATGGTGTGATATGGAAGCCATCCTTGAGATTGTGGACCATCCTAGTTTTGTGCAGGTTTAGGTGCTGCTTAGGTTACTGGATGTTGTAAGTAGACAGAAAGACAACAGGATTCTGTATGTGTAACTCTTCTGCATTCTAAAGCTTGTGTTGTACTGTTCAGTCCCTGAGCAGCAGCTGCTGGACATTGACGACTGTGACCTAAATGTGGTGAGGCTGTGTTTTCAAGTCTTCCTTCTTGATGAACATGGTAACCTGACAACTGCTCTTCCGCCCATTGTTTCTAACCCGATTTATGACAACCGTAAGTGCTTTAATTTACTTATGTCTATAATCTTAACTTGTTTTATTTCCTTAATTGTTAAAACTTTAAAGTATTTTCTTAATTAGAAAAGGAGTATGTTAGGTGGGTATGGTGGTTCATGTCTGTAATTTTAGCAATCAGAAGGCTGAGACAGGAAGATAAAATTTGAAGGCATTATGGGCTATACAGTGAGCCCTTGTTTCAATAAACAAAAAAAAGCCAGCTGTGGTGATCCATCTGCCTGCCTCTGCCTCCAAGTGCTGGGATTAAAGGCATGAGCCACATTTTCTGACAACATATATGGCTACCTATTAATTTTTAAAAAATCATTACCCAGTTAAAGGGTTTTTGGTTAGTTTTCTTCTTCTTGTGAACAAATTATACTGAAACAAATATATTTATATGTGCATTTTAAAGACATCTATATGTTTCTATCATCTATAAATATATTTATGTGTGCATTTTAAAGATATCTATCTACATATCTATCATCTGTCATATCTATGTGTGTATGTTCATGTGTATGTGGAGATCAGAAGAAAATTTGCAGAACTTCTCTGCTTCTACCCTGGGATCAAACTCAAGTTGTCAGGCTTGGCAGTGCCACCATTACACACTTATCTCTTTGGTTTCTGAATATTCAGATCTTATGCAAATATTTCTGGCATTTGTTTTCAGTAGTATAAATTTTGACGAGACTATATCAGAGGATATCAAAGTTTATTTCAAAAAATTATAGAACTCCAAAATATTTCATGCACACACATATATACTCACTCACCAGTGATGTGTGCTACACCTATTTTGCGTAGAATACTGGTCCATAGAGTACAGAGGTAGATTATTCATATCAGAGATCCTTGGGTGCCTTGAAGGACTATTATAATAATATTGGGCAGATAAATGAAAATTGCATTGCCCTACGGATATAGCTAATGATGTAAGAAGACTAGTCACGGTGTGCCCTTATCAAAAATTGGGAGGCAGAGTCAGGAGAATTGCTCAGATTCAAAGCTCAGCAGCCTAGTGTACATAGCTTCAAAAAACAAGAGACTGTGTCTTCAAGGACTTGGAAATCCAGGACTAGCAAGCACCTAAGATTGTCCTATGACCCCCACACATGTGCCATGGCACACGCTTACCTGTGCCCACACACGCCTACACCCAGACATACTTCAACAACACCTCAACAATACACATAAAAAATATTCAGTTTCCTTTATCTATATATTAAGATTTTTATCTATTCTCTAAATTATTTTCCTCTAATTTTCCCCCTTACAACGTACTAAATATACTTCTACTGGCTAGTTTTGTGCCAACTTGACACAAGCGAGAGCCATCAGAGAGCCTTTATTGAGAAATTGTCTTCATAAAATCTGGCTGTAAGCAGTCATATAGGGAATTTTCTTAATTAGTGATTCATGGGGGAGGGCCCATTCCATTGTGGGTGGAGTCAATCCAGGGCTGGTAGTTTAGGTTCTATAAGAAAACAGGCTGAGCAAGCCAGTAGGCAGCACCCCTCTATGACCTTTCACAGTGACAGATATTAGGGTTCAACTTGAAGGTCAGAAAAGCAAAGCAGCTAAGACACTAGAGAGCTCTTACCTCTATGAGATCTTCAGACTGAAAGACAGCAAGTTCCTGTCTCATCCTACCTTATATTTCTCTCTAGTGCTGGAAGTAAAGGCATGCACCACCACCACACAGCCTCTATGGATAACTAGTCTGGCTGTTGGTATTAAAGGTGTGTGCCACCACTGCCAGGCCTGTATGGCTGACTAGTGTGACTGTTTTGCATTCTGGTCTTCAGGCAAGCTTTATTTATTAAAAGACAAATGAAATATCACTACATTTCCCTTTTCTTGTCTAAAGTAAAAAAGAAGACTATAATTAATATAAGAAAACTATATACAGTAAGTGCAATAACTATATACAATATATACAAGCAATAAATACATCAACAATGTCTTGTCCATTTGCATTTGACAAATTCAGAGAAAATACTCCATGTCTATCTTATCTTGATGAGTCCAAAGTCCTGCGCCTAATTTACTTTCTATCATAACTTGCTTTCTGCATCTGGTAAACAAGGAAAACTATAACTATCTAGTCTTCAACTCTCTCATAAAACCAAGAATGAAATAATACTAATCGATTAAGCAGAAGTGTAAGCAAGTGACTTCCAAAAATGTGAGAAATGACAGAAAAACGCTAGCTGCCTAGACAGTCAGCCAAAGTTCCTCTGCAATGTTGGGCATAATCTTCAGTCTACAGGCCTATTATGTACCATGAGGACCGGCTTGTTGGGGTTTCTATCCCACCCGGTACCCCACAGCCGGCAAGTCCCAAAGAAATCACAGAGTCTACATTAGGCTATGAACTGATTGGCCCATTAGCTCAGTCTTCTTATTAACTAATTCTTACATCTTACGGTAACCCATAATTCTTGTCTATGTTAGCCATGTGCTTGGTACCTTTTTCAGCTGTCAGCTCACATGTTGCTGCTTCGATGATCTGCACAGGAGTGGCGGAGGAAGCTTCCTCCTCCCTAGCCTTCTCCTATTCTCATTGCCCTGCCTCCACTTCCTGTCTGGTTGACCCACCTATACTTCCTGCCTGGCCAATCAGCGTTTTATTAAAATACATGATTGACAGAATACAGACAATTCTCTCACACCACTATTATATCCGACAGACTTTTCTGTGAAGCACAATATTCTGAATGGTTGTCCCTCCTTGTCTTGACAATGTCTGGCAGTCACTTTCATTTGTGTCCTGCTTGTCCAATTAGGACAGCATACAGTCAGCAGTCAAGGCAAGGGCATTTTCTTGCCCAGGAACTTACTTTTTCCACAAACAAAGTAAACCCCCTGTGGAGTTTCTTTGATGTCCATTATCTTCCCTGAAGTAGAATGGTGATGCCAGGAGCAGACATGTCTCATTGTCATAAAAAAAAAAAAAGAACCTGTGTTATTAAAACATCTTAAATGTCATATTCTATAGATCTCTGAAATGTTTGAAGATGACCTGTCTGTCTAAAATACATCTTCATTTAACCTTGAAAATATACCTGATATGACTACAAGTTCCACTATAATAGGTGATTAACTATTAACCTACATTTCCTTATTACTCTAAACAGTTAGTAATAATAATTTTCAAGGATTATAAATTTCCATTACATTCTTAAATGAGACATATAGGTACAATAGCTTGAACAAGAGTAGGAAATGTATGAACAGTATGTTCTAACAAAATTAATCTCAAATTTGTATCAATATACAAAATTTGTATACAATATACAAGTTCCAATCCAAGTTAAAACATTTAAAACTAGTAGTTGCTTTTTAAAAGTAGATTCAATAATCTATCTTTTTATCTTATCATATCTATAACCTCCATTTTCCATTTCAGAATAGATTCAAATAGACTCTTTTATTGTGTCTCTATCCCCTTTTTTTCTTTTCAGAGTAGATTTAATAATCTACCCTTTTATCCTATCATATCTATATTCCCCTTTTTTCTGTTCAAAACAATAACTCTGACTCTAACCTCCTTTGTTCAACTTTTCTCCTGGCTGTAACCAATAACCACCTCCCCCTAAATTATGAAAAATATCCATAACCCATTGAACGACCAAAAACCATCCATATCATCTCTTTGAAATGTGGGCATCATATTCTTAAATTTACTTCCTGCTGTCTAGCGGGACAATGACATCTTTAGGAGATCCTGAAAAGAAAATTTTGGATCAATTCTCAAGTCCTGGGAGAGGTAGTTTTATCATTTGTTGTCCAATCTCTGTGTAATGGGAAAGTGCAGAACTTGTCTCAAGTCCTGGCTAGAGTAGTCTGTTAGGCTGGATCATCTCAGCTAGCCGCCTTGAAATTGTTCTGAGCCATTTGTAGTCAAAACCAATCTTTAGGTGGTGTTTTTCAGCTTAGTGGTGTTATCATAGTCCTGGAGGAATCTGCATTGTGGGGCTCCATCCTCCTCATGGAGACTTCAAAGATTACTGTTAGGCATGCTCATGGTTCACTGCAGAAAACTGATAGAGACTCAAACCTGAAATGATCTACAGAAAAGCAGATGAAACCTTTATCTAGAATTAGAACTCTGAATGACCATTAACATGATGACAAAAAGTTTAGAATTAATCTTACAAATTTTGTACCTTAAGAAAAGCTGTTAGAGAGTTATTATAAACTGAAGAATTATGAGATTAGTAGCAATATAATAGTCCTTAAATAGTTGTTTTTCTGCTGTCTCGTATCAGGTGGCTCTTCTGATATGAGACAGATTTTGGATTTCACTTTAATAAGCATGCTTGGATTTAGAGAAGGAGAGAGCCACACTCCAGATCCAGTGCCAGCTTTCGTCTTTAATAGGACTGGGACTACAAAAAGACCATTTGTATTATACATCTGTAGAGAACAGCAGAAACAAATGTTTAGAAAGATCTATGAAATTTTATTTTGTTGGAAATGTGATATACCAATAGGCCAATTTACTCTTTTTCTTTGAACCTTTTTCTCTGTATGATTTGCCCTTTTTCTTCTGATATCTCATTTGTTCAGTGGTCTTCAGATTTCTTAGCTGGATACCTTTATTCTCCTGAAAAGACTGAAACAAAACCCTTCTCCAACCCTGATTTTGAGGGAGATTCTCTTTTGGCAAGTTATATCTTATCAAATGGAAAGCAATTATAAGTTTTATAGGTTAGTTTAGATTAAACAGTCATGTTGTTTGGTGGACTATCATCTCTTCTAATTAAGAGGTATTTCTTGTTCAAACTGAATCTTTATCAATTTTGATGGAATCCATAGCTTTTCTTTCCTTGTAGAAACAAAAGCAAAACCCCTTCCCCAATGTAACAGTTGTCTTGGGTTCCATTTTGAGATCAACACATCTTTAAAGTATATTGGCTGATCTAATTCAGTAGGTTTTTTTTTTCTACTTACCCAATGTCTCTTTACAGTTGTTCTTTTGTCATTAGC